AACTACGTCATGAACGACATGAAATTCATAAAACCCACATTTTATTTATTGACTTTGTGTTATTGTTATGAATTTATACAGTTATCAATATACAAATCTGATTATTGGCCGTCTCGTGCTTAAAAGAAAACCAAGCTTTACTTTGTAGTTTTATAGTTTTATTTATCAATCATTTATGTGTTCGGAAATTTAAAAAAAATGTAATTTCATCACTAGAAATGTTTATGCGACTTAAGGCGGTGTCAACTGTTTAAGATATTTACAATAACTTGATCGTTTTCTTTTTCTTCTTTTGCTATCACATTGCAAGTATTGTAAAATCGTTCGTGTAAATACTAGAATTATCTTGACTGACTTGTCAATAATTAATGAAAAACTAATGCCTATCTAAACTGCATTGACAATGTACAAATTATGTGATTCAACAAATAAACTGACATTTCGCTTTCTGTGTAAGTAATTCAAAGTTATCTTATTCGATAAAGGTATAAAAGTGCAACTTTAGAAGATTTGTTATTTGGTCCTTGCCTGATTAATCGTATATATAATTTTAAAATTCAAATGAATGACGCACAGTGACTAGAGCGAGATACATGTAATTATTTATAATTATTTGTTATTTGACAATATGCGACTATGATAACGATGGACATTTGTTGGTCAATATGTCAAAAATGATTGGTAACAGTTCCAATTATAACTCCACGAACGTACATTTATATCAATTATGATGGAATGTTTATTCGCCATGGTGACAATATTAGATTTTAATCATTAAGTGATAAATTATTTAACAACACAAATAATATGTGTTTATTCTACCACTATACCACAAATTAACGCACACTTTAACGAACAGTTTTAAGCTGAATCCGTCTCATTATTTAATCGAGACAAAACGTCCATTAAAATATTACAAAAGGATCCTTGAAACAGGTTGTATGTATACTTATTTTGTTATGCATTGACAGTCATTTAAATTCCGTGTAGCTTTTGCTATTGAAATTTAGTTTATACATGACGTAATTTTAATTGTTGAAATGTATTTAAAACATTGCTTTTTTTGGGAGGGATGGAAATGGGATTTTTTTCAGGTTTGAAACAAACAATGATTATTGTCATACATAAAATGAATGAAAGAGGTTGTTTCATTTTTAAGTGTCTGTTTAAGCATTTTTGTGTAGATGATTTTCTGTAAACATACTACATTTCACTTTCCTAACTAGTGTTAATGGGTATTGAGAGATATTGTAGAAAAATAATCAAAACAAGTAAAAACTATAATAATGTTTTTTAAATTATATATATAATTGATTCAGACAGATCTACCGCAGTTTTCATTCCAATATCTCAACACACACTGCAAATGCTCATTGATCAAAATGTATTACTGTAAAAGAGGCTATGCTATATGAAATATAAAAGGTATTCGTTTTATTTAATTTGTTTTATTTTTTATTAGCAAATAATAAATAAAGAAATTTAAGTATGTTCAGCAGGCAGCATAGAATTATCCGTTTCCAGCAAAATGTATGTCAAAAGGTATAGGCCTGAACACAAACACATTCACATGGGTAATTAAACCAATGATGCTGTGAAAACAGGCACTGTTTATAAGAAACAAAGTGTAGAGTATGACTGGGGATATGTATTCTAATGACAATTCAAATTAAATGAGTTTTCAAGTTTATGTTATTTTCAGTAAAGTGTGCTGATTTAGCATGGTATGTTGTTGAGATGAATGCAAATATACGTTAATTATCAATATTATTTAATTTATAATAATTATATTATTGTAGGTAGTTATCTATCTGACATTATTGCACTTGGTTGATTACATTTAATATTATACATTTGTACGACCCCATTGACTTACAGATTTTGAATTGAATTGATCACATCTGGGATAACTTTGTTTTTTATTTTATATTTAATAACATAGTTGATTAAGTATGGTGACCGATATAACTAGTATTAATTTGAAATATTAATAATAATAACTGTAATTATAATCATAAAAGTCTACATCTTTGGCGATCGTCATATTCTTGACGCCACTATATAATAACATTTGACCAATGAGATGTGTTATTTAGATACACCAATAAATCAAAAATAAAGTTTCTTTGAATAAATTGAATTTTTTCTATATTTTGTTGATAATGTGTTTGCATACTACGTTTGTTTAATTACTTAGATTTTATATTTTCAACATATAAAATGCCTGTCTGTCTGCATTCTTGAGAAAGCTTAAACATCTTCAAACGGGTAACTAATAAGATTATTAGAATAATAAGAAAGAATAAATTGGTAACAAGTTATGGTCGCTCTCTCCTCGTCATCATGACTGTCTTATTTGTCTAGTTAGTTTTTTTTTTAAATAATGTACACGAGTGCTTAATGGTATAATTATTAATTATTATTTCATGAACAAAAATGATAATCCCACTCCGATCATTCTCCAGAATTGGCATCGTGTGACCCTTTCCTCATTCCTTTATTAAAATATCATATTGCATGTCATCGCTACAAAAGTAGACATTGACGATGGTCGGTAATGATTTACTTATAACTCGATATATTTTAAAAAGGGGAAATACACTCGTTCCCCTTTTTAATGCACTATTTTTACATTATTTTCAGCTAAAGTAATGGTATTGTTTTGTGAAAAGTAAAAGACAAACAGCTAAAGTAAACATACAAATTTTATTTTTTGTTTCTTTTGCAAATGTTTTCGGGGGAACCGTTCCCCCGAAGAACAAAAGCCATGTGCAGAATACAACATATTTTGATAAAATAAAAGCAATTTTTCAGTAATAAGAGATACATTATGCTTACGGGGGAACCATTCCCTCATCAAAATAAAAAATAAATTTCAAAACTTATCTATAACATATTTTCTAACGTGGAACCGTTCCCCATAACAAATTAAGAGATATAACAATTTGATAAAATAAAATGCAATAAATTAGAAATCTAGAGCCATGTTAATGGTAAGAGGGAACCGTTCCCTCCTCAAAATAAAAAAAAAATTTCAAAACTGATCTATAACAAATTTTTTAAAGTGGAACCGTTCCCCCTTAACAAAACTGGTACATGTATAACAATTTGATAGAATGAAATGCAGTAATATAGAAATTTAAAGCCATGTTACCGGTAAGAGGGAACTGTTCCCTCATCGAAATAAAAAATAAATTTCAAAACTTATCTATGACACATTTTCTAGAGTGGAACCGTTCCCCCTTAAAATATATATAACAATTTGATAGAATAAAATGCCATCATTTAGAAATTACGAACAAGGTTACAAGTAAGAGGGAACCGTTCCCTCATCGAAATAAAAGACAATTTTCAAAACTTATCTACGACACATTTTCTAAAGTGGAACAGTTCCCCCATAACAAAATAGATATAACAATTTGATAGAATAAAATGCAATAATTTAGAATTTAGAGCCAGGTTACCAGTAAGAGGGAACCGTTCCCTCATCAAAAAAAAAATAAATTTCAAAACTTATCTATGATACATTTTCTAAAGTGGAACCATTCCCCCTTAACAAAATAGATATAACAATTTGATAGAATAAAATGCAATAATTTAGAAATTGAGAGCCATGTTACCGGTAAGAGGGAACCGTTCCCTCATTGAAATAAAAAATAAATTTCAAATATATCCCCCTTAAAATATATAACAATTTGATAGAATAAAATGCAATAATTTATAAATTACGAACAAGGTTACAAGTAAGAGGGAACCGTTCACTCATCGAAATAAAAGACAAATTTCAAAACTTATCTACGAAACATTTTCTAAAGTGGAACCGTTCCCCCTTAACAAAACAGATATAACAATTAATGCAATAATTTAGAAATTGAGAGCCATGTAAATGGTAAGAGGGAACCGTTCACTCATCGAAATAAAAAATAAATTTCAAAACTTATCTACGACACATTTTCTAAAGTGGAACCGTTCCCCCTTAACAAAATAGATATAACAATTTGATAGAATAAAATGCAATAATTTTGAAATTTAGAGCCAGGTTACCAGTAAGAGGGAACCATTCCCTCCTCAAAATAAAAAATAAAATTTCAAAACTTATCTATAACAAACTTTCTAAAGTGGAACCGTTCCCCTTAACAAAACAGATACATGTATAACAATTTGATAGAATAAAATGCAGTAATATAGAAATTTAGAGCCATGTTACTGGCAAGAGGGAACCATTCCCTCATGACAACTTAACCAAAATTCAATAATTTGAACTTGACAGTCAATGTGATTTAAAGCTCAGGGTCAAGGTCTGTTCAATCTTTCAGCATGTCTTGTCCAAATGGTTGTTTTGTCTAAGTTTAAAATACTCCATTGATTACTTACAAAGTTACAGCCAACAAGAGGGCCAAAATGACCCTAGATCGCTCACCTGACCCATCAAACCCATATTATATTAAAGTCCTGTGACCTAGTATTTTTCTGAAAATACAAAAGTTCAAATTATCCCAGCCAAATTTCCTAACAAGCTTCCCGAAAAAAAGTTTTATGACAGGTTAGTTTAAACATGGGGGACCCCTAGGGTGTTTAACAAGGATTTTTCCTATTTGACAGGTGGGGACAGTTTTTGCCCCCGGGGACCCAAAAATTTAAATTTTACAAAAAATCAAAGAAACAAAATTTCCCGTCCCCGGTATTTGGATGAAAAAGTGCCTTTTGAGGTTAACAAATTTTCTATTTTTGCTCCCGTGACCTTCTTTTTCTTGGATTTAACCCCTGTTCAAACGCATATAAGCCCAAATTTCAATGACAAGCAATTTTGTTGACAAAAAATTTTATTTTAATGCATGGGGAAAAAAGTCTGGGGCTCTTAAGGGTTTTTCAAAGGGGTTGTTGGAAAAAATTGAACCATTTTTTGAAATTTAATTGCCAATGGGGGAAAGTTTTAAAGGTGACAACAAGAAAGTAAGGCATGACTGTACATAGCAATAGCTCACACTCTTTTATTCTTAATAAAAATTGAGCTGAAAACTAACAAGAGCACCGCTAGGCAAAATGTGGGCCAAATGGAACTTAAGTTATTCTCCGGAAACTGTTTTCACTTTTAAAGTAATAGTGACCTTGACCTCTGACCTTGTGATCCCAAAATCAATAGTGGTGTTCTACCCAATATGGCCAATCATCCTATAAAGTTTAAATACTGTGGGCCAAATGGAACTTAAGTCATGTTCCGGAAACTGTTTTCAGTTTTGAAGTAATAATGATCTTGACCTCTGACCTTGTGACCCCAAAATCAATAGGGGTCTTCAACCCAATATGGACAATCATCCTGTGAAGTTTTTATATTGTGGGCCAAATGAAACTTAAGTTATGTTCCGGAAACTGTTTTCAGTTTTAAAGTAATAATGACCTTGACCTTTGACCTTGTGACCCCAAAATCAATAGGGATTTTCTACCCAATATAGACAATCATCCTGTGAAGTTTGAACACTGTGGGCCAAATGGAACTTAAGTTATGCTCCCGGAAACTGTTTTCAGTTCTTGACCTTTGATCTTGTGACCTCAAAATCAATAGGTGTCTTCTACCTAATAATAATATGGACAATCATCCTCGGGTAACAGTATTTTCCTCGGGATGATATTTTTACTGTTACCAACAAACCCATGTGTTATTTATATACTGTTACCCAGTCACACAAGTACCTCTGGGTTCGTACGGAGGAACAGATGCCAGGGGGTATAACATAATATGCCCGAAATTGTTTCGGGCATATTAAAATTCAACATTCATTTCTCCCCAATGAGATTTATGCATCTATAATGTATTAAGTTTCACTAACATGTAGATACCTCCTTTTGGTGGATGGATTTATGGACATTCCGACACATTTACTAAGTTGTTATAAAGTTTTGAAAACATAATGATTCCTAGTGTTTTACTGCATTATAATGTTTGTTCATTCAACATGTTGTTAAACATGCACATTTTTTTGCACTAAAATTGCACCTTTCAACATCTCTCTTTACAGCCATATAGCCATATAGATATTGTTAACAAACAATATTCAACAACCATCTTCAGTATATCAAATGAAAGTTTCAACAAAACTTAAGCAAGGTTTAAGCACATGTTCCATCCAAACATGTTTCTGCTCCTCTACGATGAATAGGGAAAATCTTCTTGACAACAATATCTGAAAATAAACAAAAAAAACTATTTTACCTTATTTATATTTCAAAATTTAATAAATAAAGTACTTCATATGATAATTCTTAAATAAATTTAAATTCTGAATAAGATATGCATGGCCTTTAAAAGACAGACATTTATTTAGAGGCAAAATTATTCAAACAAATTTTCTAACTAAACTTTTATTGATTATTAATTATTTTTATTACATGCTTTTCGGTGGTTTATAGAAATATATCAGTGAAATAAAACTGGTAATTTCACTGTTTGAAACAGTGAAATTACCACTTTGATAATTTCACTGTTTTGAATTTAAGCCCCTTATGTTGTTTCAGTGAAATACCAGCGTGCACAGTACTGGGTACCAACTTTATGACGTGACGTCGTAAATGACGTCATGTTGTATAATTTTTTGGCGCGCTTTTCATTCAGTATTAGGTTAAATGTCTTTTTAAAACGTTTCTTTGCATATAATAAAAAGAAAATTTGTTTAGTTTAGTGTAAGATTGAAATATATTTCACCTTGTGAACACCAAAAGTTCATATTTCACTCGTGGCTGCGCCACTCGTGAAATATACCTTTTGGTGCTCACTCGGTGAAATATATTCCGATCTTACACTGAACTAAACAAATATCCTCTATATATCTACAATTGCATATTAATTATAGTCCATATAAAAAAAATTTATTGCATCATTATTTTTTGTGTAAGTGAGAGGTTAAGGACAGGAATCATGACAAATTTCTTTATAGGGCCAAGCTATTTTTACTTAACAAAATATATGCTCTCTTTAGAGGTGATATATAAAAGAGTAATTGATCCTTAAATTTCCTCAAGACAAGAGGACTGTGATGACTATAGAGTTTCACATGGTTGATGAACAAAACAGGCAAAGAGAATTGTATTTGGTAAAGTACTGTCTAAAGTATCATTTTAGCACATTTTGTAGATATTGTACAAGTACTTACTTAATTTAACTGTGACCAATATATCTAGTTGTTGTAGGTAACCATTTTTATCCAAGATATGACCTGAATTGTGGTTAATATTTACATTATAACAATTAACAAATGCATATTTAATGTGGTCCAAAGGAATGCTGTAGTAACTGGAACAATACTGTCTCAACCAATATCAGATATTTGATGTAAATTCAATTCAAAGAACAGAGTTCAGATAAGCAGACAATGGGGTGTGCTTGGCATAGATAAATTGACTTCAAATCACTTGCAACTCACTGCTCTGAGTTTGAATACCACTGATGACTCTGTGTACTTTCATGTGAGGAAACTACATAAATCAAACAAGCTTACAGAATGTTGGTTTATCTACTCAGGTACCTGCTCATGCCTGACATAATGCATCACTGCTATGACTTTGACCGAGGGACTTAAGTACAGCACGCAAAACATCATCTACTAATGGTGGCTGCATTAACCAATTCATTTTGAAATCCTATCATTCATGCAGAAGTTAAAACCCTAAAATCCCTTAAACACTACAACAACTTTGTACTTGATAGTCAATTCACTTACATTTCTTCTTTTGATTAGTTTGTTATCACTTGTCTCCTCCATCACATCTATTTTGCTTGGCTGACAGTTTACAGGATTGGACCCTGAAATTTTAAGCAACTATTTTTTAACTGTTGTACCATTACAAACTAATTCAATTGTGTTATAGTATTTACATTTTAGGAAAATAATAAGAGTAAATAAATACAGATAAATGCTAAACCTGCTAAATTTCTGAAATAGACTTTGTCTAGCTTTCATTTATAAAACTTCCATTATCAATTTTGTTAGCTAACAATAAAGCCTGGCTCTTTACTGGTAGTAAATGCTGCAGTGGCTACGATTCCGGCTGACCAGCAGGTTGCTATGAAAGTCAATGGTACTGGTTGCTATAGAAAATAAAATTTTGCTATGGAAGTCACTGGTTCTTATGAAAAGTCTGTAACTGATATGAAAAGAAAAGAAAGCCAACAGTTGCTATTGAAAGATAAAGGTTGCTTTGGAAAATAAGTCACTAGTTGCTATGGGTACCCCGGTTACTAAGGACTAATTTATGTGGGTTTAAAAAATAAAGGGACATGGTTTAGAAAAGTATTTCAAGGTTTTAAAAGGGAAAAAAAAAATTAAAATGTTTAAAATTTAAAAAGGGAAAATCAATTTCCTCATGGAAAATTTATGGGGTTTCTATGGGAGTCTCCCGTTAGTTTTGAAAAATCACTAAATTGCTTTGGGAAAATAAATGGGTTCTATGGGGTCATTGGTTGCTTTTTTAAAATCATAGTTTCTTTCTTTCAGTCAACTGATTGGGAATGAAAAAACATGGGCCCCTTGTCCCGCATTTTCCCCCTATTTGTTAAACGTGCCTTGGGGTACAAACCCAAAATTTGGGAAAAAAAACATAGTATGCCCTCAAAATTGAGAATTTTTAAACTAATATACACCAAGCATTAAAGGGGATTTTCTAATCCCGGAGAAAATTAGTATTATGCATAATATACACTTTTAATAGGGCTGTCAGTGATGGCAAATTTTGTATTGATATATCGAGAGACAAATATCGACGTCACGATACATCGATATATGGACTTTCACAGACAGTGGATACAATAAAAAACATTAATTTTATATATGTGTTATAAATTGGGATCATGGTGTTATCACTGTTTTGCATACTTGTATTACACATTTCAAATACTACAAACTAGCAGAAAGTTCTTTTACTGTTATTCTTGTCACTGACATTTGAAAACGGAGTTTAAAGTTAACCAAGAAAAAAGTGACTTCTCTTATGAGCCAAAATAGATAGGTATAGTTAAACTAACAGAAATATTAATTTTTTCAGTTTGTATCAATATGTGAAAGTGTGTATCGATATTGTATCGGATGATGAATATTGATGATATATCGATATCGCGATAATCAATGACAGCCCTAACTTTTAACCATTAGACAAGAGCGATCAGTAATCACATGTGTCGCCTCATGATGGCCAATTTCATGTTGGGACAAATTTTGTGACAGACAGACAGACGGACAGTGCACAACTAGACTTGGTACTGATCATTCCTGTAAAGTTTGGATAAAATTGCACCAGTAGTTTATGAGGAGTATTCCGGACAAGCTTTTGCGCATCTGGCAACACACAGAAAAAACCACTTTTTTATCAAAGGGCCATAACTCGGCCAAAAATCATTCAACCAGAATACCCGTGCAATATGCGCAAGGACTTGAGCTACAGATCAATCCTGTAAAGTTTCATTGAAATTGCATTAGTGGTATTAGAGAAGTAGTCTGGACAAACTTTAAAATTAAAAATTATTAAAGGGCCATAACTCTGACAAAAATCATTGAACCGGAAAATGCTGACAATATGCACAACTAGACTGGTGCTGATCATTCCTGTAAAGTTTGGATGAAATTGCACCAGTAGTTTATGAGGAGTAGTCCGGACAAGCTTTTGTGTATCTGGCAACACACAGAAAAAAAACACCTTTTTATCAAAGGGCCATAACTCGGCCAAAAATCATTTAACCGGAAAACCCGTGCAATTTGCGCAAGGACTTGAGCTACAGATCAATCCTGTAAAGTTTCATTGAAATTGAATTAGTGGTATAAGAGAAGTAGTCCGGACAAACTTTAAATTAAAAATTATTAAAGGGCCATAACTCTGACAAAAATCATTGAACCGGAAAATGCTGACAATATGCACAACAAGACTTGGTACTGATCATTCCTGTAAAGTTTGGATGAAATTGCACCAGTAGTTTATGAGTAGTCCGGACAAGTTTTGTGACGGACGGACGGACAGACGGAGGAGAAGTGATCCCTATATGTCGCACTACTCCGTAGAGGCGACACAAAAAAACGGAGTACATAAATTATATAAATGTTCAGGAGTAAAAAATAGAAGACTGGGTGCGAATATGGCAATATTGGGTCATGTGTTTAGACTTATTTTTTCATCGTATATATCACTTAACAATATGGAAGTAATTTACGAATTCTTGCAGGAAATTTTCAACTTTGACCCTAAGGGCAAAAAAAATCTCTAACCAAACTAACTGTTACAGTTTCCACCATAGGCACTCGAGAACGGGACCGCAAAATTGCGGCGCATATTTTCAATCGTGTAACGGTTTTTAAAAACGTTTCTGCTACATCTAAAATATCTTTTAGTATTATCCGAGTATATGCCCTCAAAAAATATATTATCCAAAGGGAACCTAAATCTGTCTCTTTTTAAACTGGTTCAAATTTTTAACGGTATTCAGGGTGGTCCGTTTGACCCTTGAAATGGCTCTTTTGACCCTTCAATTTCAAAAGGCCTGATGTTTGACCCTTCAGTGGATTTTAACTGATGGGTCAAATGTTTTGTTAAAAATTGGGATTTTGCCCTTCTAGTTTTGGTAAAACTAAGTCAAAATGAACGCCTCAGGATTTTCATAGTTAGTTTATGGAACACCCCTAGTATTATAAAAAAAGGCAAAAGGGGCAGGGGACCAAAAATGAAAAAAATATTGTTATTTCAGTGTGAAGAAACAATTCCAAATATTTCAAAAATCTGTTTCACATTGCAGAATTAACCCCGAGTTGCACCAAGCATTATTTAAATGAATATATGACATACATTGAGAAAAAATAGTTTTGCATGGCATTGCTCCTTCAAAAAATACTGACACAATTTTATATTTACCCCCAACCCAGCCAAAATCACACCTAAAATATACCAATATCGGGGCAATCTTCATGAAGGTGCAGCATACTCCAGAAATTTGCCCGATTCCTTTAAAAATATCAGTAACAGTCGCAGTGCAAGCTATTTGGCATTTTCAGAAATGACAAATAAAAGTGTCTGTCATAACGTTTAGATTTTTCACAAAATTAATCTGAAAATTTCTTACTTGTTTGGCGGCCAACTGTCAAAGCTTGATTTTTAACTTTTTCACCTCCATTCGGAGAGTCAGAAATACATAACAAAGCTACCAAAATGCTTAGTTTCGGGTTACAAAACCCAAATATATCTCATTTCCTACGCACAAACAAGAGAAGAATTACAATGACAGAGAGAAATATCAGAAGTTATCAGTACCTTCAAAACACCATGTTCTGAGTTATTAAAAAATTTGACCGGGGCCATCATTCGAATATGTCCCCTGCCCCCTTAAGATTTTTCTATGTGATCCGCATTAAAGCATTTTCCTTTTATTTTCTTAAAATATGGAGTATTTCGCATTAAACGTTAACTTCGAAAAGTGAATACTGCGGTTACTTTGTATTTAATCAAATATTTAAAAAAGACCCTATTTCAGGGGAAGTAACTAGTACAATGACCATGCCTGTTATATGATTTTACTTAATATCACAGTGACAGGGACCAATGTAAGATGCTTATTTTTCTTTATTCCACCTTTCATTTAAATACCATAAAAGTATTTTCAGAGTAGTTAAAGTCTTTTGGAAGGAGATTATTAGCAGAAAAACAATATTACAGCCACATTTAAATGTCCTAAATATGAATTTTACAGGAAACCAGACCCCATTTATTCTGGCATACACCTAAAAATGCAGTAAAGATACCACTGTTGACTTTATATGACCATTATATACATTTGTAACAATTAAGAGTGCTCAATTATTGCATTATTATGTCAATTTGCCACAATATAAAACTGTTAAATCTGGATAAATGTGCACATTCTGTGAAGTACAGTGTGTTTGCCAAAATTCCAAACTTTATTACCTCCCTTGACCTTTTCGAAAACCTAGCTAAACACCGTTTTTCCGGGTACGTTACCGTTTTAGCTCTGGGGAATTACACCAAATGAAGTACATAACACAGTTACAAGATATGTCTATTTTTCTATCATTATTTTAACCGTTTAATGTGTGAAATAAATTGATGTTTTTTGAAAATTATCAATATTTGGGTTTAATAGCTAATTGCAAATTATTTCATAAAAATAAAATAGTTTATATAATGAAAATCAATAAAATTCAAACAGGACGTAGTGGAATCTTCTATACTAATTTGTAAATAAGGTTATTTTCTGCGTAAACTTGTGTATTTCTTTATTTTTTATGGAATTATTTCATACAATGATATTTAATTATTTTCTTATAAAGAAATAAGTGATTTTTATTTCAGTTTAATTTTAAAAAAAAGGCCGAAACATTGACTTCACTATTACACTCCACTTAGGTGAATTCCACAGAGCTATGCTACAGAAAGTACCGGGAAAACAGCGTTTAGCTAGGTTTTCGAATTCGTGACTTGACTTGACAGTCTACTTACTCTACATAACTTGATAAATCCTACCAGTCACTTTCAAATTTTTGACTAACAAAATTGTAGAAGGAATGTTTTATGGGCATATTTGTCCAGATTAATTTGAAGTATAACCCAAGTTCCCTAACACTGGGCGTGTGATAAAAGATAGTTATTAGTTCTCGTCTATAAACCTTAGCTTTTGTTTTGCTGTACTTGGGGGGGGGGGGGTTTTGTCCTACCTGTATTTTTGAGGGGGGGGGCTTTTGTCTTATGTGTAAATTTTTATGGGGCTTTTGTCCACTTTGTCATTTTTTAGAGGGGGGGGGGGCTTTCGTCCGGGGGGGGGGGGGCTTTTTGTCCTACAACTCCAAAAAAAAACCTCTAGTAATTGATTTTGGTTTAGCAGTAGGGGAAAGCATCTTATTCCTTGTGCCCCAACCCAACCACTATATTATTTACAAGATTTATTCGTATTCTTTTATGTAGATCTATTTGTCACGGTTCAGAACTGTTCACTATTTAGGGGAAGAAGATGTGTAAGCGCCGGATAGCTCAGTCCGGTAGAGCCGCGGTTTACGGTATTCCGAGGGTCCCGGGTTCGAGTCCCGGTCAGGCTGCACAATTTTTTCTCACCCTGTGACATTTGGCGCCCAACGTGGGGCCGTGACTGATATAGCTCAGAGTTTAATTTACATTGCTCTGTAACTCTGTGAAATTCGAGGACGAATTTCAATATAGCAGGGGAGTATGTCACGGTTCAGAACTGTTCACTATATAGGGTAGCTTAAGGTCTTCAGCGTACCCGTTTATATATATGACATGACGTGCCGCATCTGATGAAAAACAAAAATGTTAAAAAGCGGCTTATAAAGTTTTGGAAGCCAGAACTATATATAGGGGAGAAGATGTGTAAGCGGCCGGATAGCTCAGTCGGTAAAGCCGCGGTACGGTATTCCGAGGGTCCCGGGTTCGAGTCCCGGTCAGGCTGCACATTTTTCTCACCCTGTGACATTATATAAACAGTATAGATCTAGTAGATAGCCGATGCAATATACTGCTAGATCTACAGGTTTTACTTCTGAAAATTATATAAAAACTGGTCTAATCCAGATGATTTCCAATTTGTTTATAGACTAAGAAAAAAACTCACCCAAAACTACAAAATGTATCCGTGTTCGTTCATTTCCCCTTCCACATCACAAATATCCCTTTTGAAGTTTACTATCTCCGGCACAAAACCTTTTGGATGACCGAATATTTAACTTTCCACGGTAATCACACAACGGGGTCAATGCAGTTGATGAACGCAAAAGTGGACGACTTCATTTTCACGCCATTGAAGGGGTGTCCAGCTCGATGCCAGTGTGTAAACGTTTTAATGATATTTCTGATGAATCAACATTTCAATTATTCATAACTGATGGAAAGGATAATTTAATTATCCTATAAAACCTGGGACAAAAGTTATTTTGAGTCACAGATAAACGAAAATGCTTTCACGAAAATTGTGTCCTGCATATCGAGTACCTGACTCCCCCGTGTAAGCGTATCGATTTGTCCGTTGCCGCCGAAACTCTTTGAACTTCGAGCGGGTGCCTGTGTAGTTAAAAGACACGCAAAGCTGAGGTTTAAACGTGTAAATTAATTGTTACAAGAGGTCTCGTTTAAATTTGCCGTAGATATGCGGGATGTTTCTTAAAGACTAGGTGAGTAAATAACTGACTAAGTACTGTAGATTTATATATAACTTCTTAAATTTTGTAATTTATTTACAAGTAGATTTTAGATATAGAAATCTAGATAGAAATCTTGAGTTGTCCGATTGATTTTACCTAAACAAGATATGTTTGTAAAACATGTATGCCCCCTATCAGCAGCCAATTAGTCATGTGATAAGGTTATTATGCATGACTTCTGACCCAGTGATCAAACAATTAATAAGGGTTATCAAGTATCTACTTGTCATGACCTTAACCTTTGACTCCTTGACCCAAAACTCAATAGGGGTCATCTGCTGGTCACGACCAATCATCATACAAAGTTTGAAGTTCCTAGGCCTAAGCGTTTTTAGTTAATTGATCAGAAACCGTTTTTACCTACAAGGTCAATGTGACCTTGACCTTTGACCCCTTGACCCCAAAATCAATAGGTCATCTGCTGGTCATGACCAATCACATACCAAGTTTGAAGTTCCTAGGCCTAAGGGTTCTTTAGTTATTGATCGGAAACCGTTTTAACATACAAGGTCAATGTGACCTTGACCTTTGACCCCAAAATCAATATGGGTCATCTGCTGCTCATGACAATCACCATGCCAAGTTTGAAGTTCCTAGCCCGAAGCGTTCTTTAGTTATTGATCAGAAACCGTTTTTACTTACAATGTCAATGTGACCTTGACCTTTGACCCTTGATCCCAAAATCAATAGGGGTAATCTGCTGGTCATGACAAATCACCATACCAAGTTTGAAGTTCCTAGGCCTAAGCGTTCTTAAGTTATTGATCAGAAACCGTTTTTACTTACAAGGTCAATGTGACCTTAACCTTTGACCCCTTGACCCAAAACTCAATAGGGGTCATCTGCTGGTCATGACCAATCATCATACAAAGTTTGAAGTTCCTAGGCCTAAGTGTTTTTAGTTAATTGATCGGAAACCGTTTTTACCTACAAGGTCAATGTGACCTTGACCTTTGACCCTTGACCCCAAAATCAATATGGGTCATCTGCTGGTCATGACCAATCACCATACCAAGTTTGAAGTTCCTAGGCCTAAGGGTTCTTAAGTTATTGATTGGAAAGCATTTTTACCTACAAGGTCAATGTGACCTTGCCCTTTGACCCTTAACCCCAATATCAATAGGGGTCATCTGCTGGTCATGACCAATCACCATACCAAGTTTGCAGTTCCTACGCCTAAGGGTTCTTAAGTTATTGATCAGAAACCGTTTTTACCTAAGAGGTCAATGTGACCTTGACCTTTGACCCCTTGACCCAAAAATCAGTAGGGGTCATCTACTGATCATGACCAATCACCATATCAAATTTGAAGTCCCTAGGCCTAAGGGTTCTTTTGTTATTGATCGGAAACCGTTTTTACCTACAAGGTCAATGTGACCTTGACCTTTTGACCCCTTAACCCCAAAATCAATAGGGGTCATCTGCTGGTCATAACCAATCACCATACAAAGATTGAAGTTCCTAGGCCTAAGGGTTCTTTTGTTATTGATCAGAAACCGTTTTTACCCAAGAGGTCAATGTGACCTTGACCTTTGACCCCAAAATCAATAGGGGTTATCTACTGATCATGACCAATCACCATACCAAGTTTGAAGTTCCTAGGCTTTAAGGTTCTTTAGTTATTGATCGGAAACCATTTTTGCTTACAAGGTCAATGTGACCTTGACCTTTGACCCCTTGACCCCAAAATCAATAGGGGTCATCTACTGGTCATGACCAATCACCATACCAAGTTTGAAGTTCCTAGGCCTAAGGGTTCTTTAGTTATCACTCGGAAACCATTTGGTCTACGGACCGACGGACCGACGGACCGACGGACCGACAAGTGCAAAGCAATATACCCCCTTTTCTTCGAAATGGGGGCATAAATATGTTTAATCTCGTGTCCACAAAATTGCAATATAGATCTAATATCAAAATATTTAAATAAAAAAATCATTTTTTTGTAATATTGTTCTTTTTTTAATACTTTGATTTAGATGTAATGGTCTTAATTTTTCAGAAACATGTAGTCTTAGACTTCAGTGGCTCAACTGCCTTATAGTCTTATCACAGTAAATACTTCAGAGACAGACCGCTATGACTTCAAAACAGGGAATCAGACTGAAATACAATAAAATATTTCAGTAAAGATCAGTAATTGAAGAGATTTTAATGGATGGGAGTGGGACTCACATGAAATAGAGTTTCCTTTTAGGTATGTATTTTTTTTAAAGCAATTTTCGCTTGAACCATCCTAGTACAAAAAATAGGGAATATTTGGTGTGAATACATTATTTAAGAATTTCAATATTGACACCAGTAAGCGAGTAAGGTTCCTAAAACCCTTGCATTATTTTCCTCACTGTAGGTGTGTTTGCATAATCTAAATAACCGGTTGTCCGTTTACTTGTGAGGTCAATTTACAGTTGTTTGAACTGCAAATCACTAGACTTTTTTGAAGGAGACTTGTAGGCCCTACACACTTATTATAAATATTGTTTGGGAAGTTTTTCAAGTTATTAAATTATTAACTAAAACTTAGTGTATCCAATTAAGGGTATTTTACAAAAATATGTGAGGATTCTTTGAGATAGTTGTAATTTTGAAAAACTTTTATATATTTTAAAGAACCTAGAGCTACAAAATGTTGCCTGAATTAGCGACAGTCAGCATATTTCTTTTTATGCTAAATTTTGAAAAAAGAACTGAGAAATCAAATGAGGAAATCATGTGTGGAATTGAATCAGAGTTAAAATTTAATGTTACCAATTCTAGTTTGGGTAAAAACCCATAAAGTATCCAGTGATAAAACAATAATCATGAAAAGTAATGTTTCTAGGGTGTCTGTTTGACCCTTGAAATGACTCTTTGACCCTTCAAATTTCCAAAAGGCCTGATTTGACCCTCAGGATTTTCATGGGGATTTGATCTTGTAGTCTGTAAAACTTAGTCAAAATGACCCTCAGGATTTCATGGCTTTAAGTCGCGAACACCCTGTTGATAGTGACTTAAATTATTATGAAACTGTTAATTTATATGTTTATGAGAAAAAATACAATAATGTAAAAGTTGTTTGTAACATCTGTCCCCCATAACATCTGTCCCGCTATGTAAGAATATAAAGATGCTTACATTTGTAATATCACATAAACTCATGGTCACTGAAAATGGATTTTACACTATAATACCAAAGTTACAATGAAAATTGAAGAAATAACAAATAAAGATTTAAATTTTATGACGTATTTATTTCAAAAATTATTATTTGTGAACACCTGAAAACATCCAGTGAATCTCATAATAAGTTCATTAAGATAATATTTAAGCTAATATTATCTTTGGACAACTTATAATAATCTATTGTTTTTCTGACAGTGCAGGTTTCAAAATATGGGTGACAGAAGGAGACGTCAGATTGTTACAGAAATGAACATTATGATTCTTTTTACAATAATTATACTAAACTTATCTAATTTCTTGTTCTTTTGTTGCATGATAGAGAAATTAAGTAAGCTTTGCAACTGTATACAGGCGCGGATACAGAACAGTGTTTCCTGGGGGTGGGGGGCTGACATATGGGTGGAAGAGTTTGAAAACAAAAACAACAATGCAACAGGTGAAAATTGCGCGTGTTTGAAGATTGGGGGCCAGCATGTGTGTTCATGTGACAAAATTGTAATTGATGTATTTTTATGTGATTGGGTGGGCCTCCCATAGACTGAGAAATTTTGAAATATGAGGCTGAAAATGGTAATATGTCCTTGACTTTCTAGTGCTGTGTATGGTACCTTTTGGATGGTTTAACATCACATTGTATTTTGTATAGCTTATTGTTTTGAAGCGTCTTTCAAATAGCATTCCACTGGTGTTTAGTTGGATACTTACCAATGTATGCACGACCGTTAATAAAAATAATTTCAAACACTCGCTCAATTTACTCGTCTGAATAATAGTTTTATATATATAATAGCGCTTTTATCCAAAGTAAAGTGTTATTAAAATACTGCTTTTCTATTGTACAAAAAATAATAATTTCAAACACAAATATTCAATAAGAATTTTTTCCCATCAATAAATCCATTTTATATATTAAAGAGGTTAGTACAATTGAAATTTTATTTGAGCCGTGTCATGACCGTGTCATGACCAACCAACATAATGGGTTTGCGACCAGCATGGATCCAGACCAGCCTGCGCATCCCCGCAGTCTGATCAGGATCCATGCTGTTCGCTTTCCAACTCTATTACAAGTAGAGAAACTGATAGCGAACAGCATGGATCCTGATCAGACTGTGAGGATGCGCAGGCTGGTCTGAATCCATGCTGGTCGCAAACCCATTATGTTGGTTTTGTCGTGACGCGGCTCATTTAAAAGATATATCTGCCATAAAAAAATATTAAAAGCAAATGACCAATTATTTCATCTTAATAAAAATTTTAGTAAAACCAGTTATGAAGATGTGATTCCTTTAATATTATCTTTATAAAAATTGCCATCTTTTAATTTACAAATAATAATTTTCAGTTTCTTAATTTTAAAGCTTTCGCAAAAAATGGTTAAACAAAGATAGTAAAATATGGTGATACTATGTAACACACCTATTTGCCAATATCTGTGACAATTAATTTCATTAGACCTTTGGAACGTAATAAACCCATTAATTATGTTG